CGGTGAGATTTGAACCGCTGAACTGCTGATCTAGCAGCAGCCTGCAGTGCTGCATTTAACCACTGCGCCACCTCGGCTCTTCCTTTAGCCTCCATCACTGGTGACCTTACCTCTTTCCACATTCTCCTGATTCTGGGGCATCTCTGCCTAGTACACATATGTCTGGAGAAAACACATACAGTTCCAGGTCTTTGTTGAAACAATATATGTGATCTGTGTACATAACAAACATGTTGGTCCAGGCATGTACCATTCAAAATTCTTTGCTAGACCTGGGCTATGACACTCGCGACCAGATGCAGAGGTAGGCTTCAGGCATTTCACACCGGTTTGGGCGAACTGGTTGTTAACTTTTAGCCCAGTTCGGAGAACCAGCTAATCCCATCTCTGACTGGCACCGCCCACCCTCCCCTACCAGGAGTCCCCCTGCAGCCTGTTTTGGCTTCCAGGGTGGTGCTGGAGGTCTTCCAGGCCCAAAACCTCTGCTCTAGGGTGAGTCGGGAATGGGGATTTTGCATTATCATTACTGTGGGGTGAGTTGGGAATGGGGATTTTGCTTATGATGCAAAATCAGTTGCTTCACAAAAAGTGTTTTGATTGGTGCCAGGTCTCTATAACTTCAGGCAAAGAAGGACTATTCTGCACCCCTCCCTCAAATGTTCCCAGCTTTTCTGTAGGAACCTCCAACATGCAAACTGGTTACTCATCCTAAAATGAATCCTCTTTACCTGGAGCTTCAAATTTTGCTATTTGCTGGGGAGGTATGTAGCTAAAAGTCAGTCTACATATAGTGTACATCTGACTTGGGGGATATTTCTTCATAACCAAATAAAAGTATATTTTCTGTACAGTTCACACCTCTTGCTCACTGGATCTGGATGTCACAAAGTAAAACCCACATTTTGTAATTAACCCCTGCACCACGTTTTGACTGGCAAAGTGCTGCAGGAGGCTGAGTGCTATCCTGTCCCCTGGCCATGCCCAACCAGCTGGTCATTAGGGCAGAGAACCAGTTATAAAATTATTTGAATCCCATCACTGGCCAGATGTGTTGCGCGCTGGCCATGCCCATGCCCGGTTTAGCGAAGGGGGGGGGAG